CTCGACCGAACTCGATTTTCTCTCGGCAAATCATACCCAACTGATCATGAAACATAATTTACTTAACAAAATAGACATAAATGCTCGAAGGAATATTTATTTAACGAACTTGATACGCATAAGCAGCCCGTGGCGCGTGCTACGTGCACGGCCACGTCCTTCGGCCAAAACAGGAAAAACATGAAAATTCTTCGAACACTTTGACCTTAACTGAACATGATGCAACATGACCTGACTAAATAAACAAAGTTGTTCGAGAGATTGTTGATTCACACATGAACATGTTTAACCTACGCCACACGCACGGCCGAAACAATTCAAACTATATCATGAACATGACTATGCAAATTGAACCGATATGACTATAACATGATCAATTAAAGGTAACCGAAATTACCTTCTTGAATGCTCGGTTGAACGCACCCGCTACTTGCGGTCACTCGGAACTCATGCGTGTGCGGTGGCTCTCGGTGCGGCGTGCGGTACTCGCCGTGTGGTGCGTGCTATGCTCTCGAGATGGTGTGCGGTGCGGTTGCTTACTCCTTCTCCACCTCACTAACTCTCTATGCTTAAGTAATATATATGGCCGAATGTGGAGAAAAATTCTCCCAAACTTTACCTATATATATGACCGTACAAAGAGAGGGGAGTGATGTAGTGTTGATGTGGCCTAAGGAACTAATGCCACTTGCTTCATGATAGAAGGCTTAAGGTGATGAGTCACCTCAAAACTCTCCTAAAATTGCCACGTGCAAGACTTAAATGAGAGGAAAATTGTTTCCCCCACTTGAAGAAGGCTACGGCAATTGGAATAAAAGGGAACAAAAGCTACGGCTTTTATTAGGTTAACCATGATTAATTAATCACTAATCACCTCTTTATGCTTAATTAATTATTAAGCATAATACTTAATTATTAAAATTATTCCGAACGTAAACGAAACGTCGAAAATAATTTCGGGTAATCTCGACTGAAAATAATTAATTCCGAACATAAACGCGATATTCAAAAATTAATTCGAATATTTATGACTTGGACAATTAATCCGAATATCGACATTTCAGATAATTTGTCAACTTAACTAATTAATTTCGAATTCATTAATTAATGAAACCAATCGGAATTAAATCTGGAAACTTATTCGGTTACTGAAATAATTAAACCGAATAATTTATGGACTAATAGTCAAACTTAGAATATAACTGGCTGATTAACCTGAACTTTAACATGAACATGATTATTTATTAATAAAGGCTTGCTTAAAACTAAAAGCTAGTATTTTCCTTTATTAATAAAACTCGGGGCGTTACAATCCACCCCCCTTAAAATATTTCCGTCCTCGGAAATTTAAAACTGGAATGTACAAGCTTAACTTAAAGCTTATACTTACTGATTACATGACTTGAGAATTCAGTACTTTAATACTGAATAATGGACTTGATCTGAACTGAGGAGTTATCAATTCACAATTAAGTGAATTGTTGATTACTGCTGACTGAGAATGGACACTCTCACCTGAAATAAAGTGTTTTACTGATTACACATGATCTCAAAACGTAATTCTTGAGCGCACTGGTCATCATTTCTTGGCTGCTTGCTGATCTTCAGTCTGAACGCTGATGGTGGAACACCCCGGTCGTTGGTACACCCGGAAGATTCCAGAGATATGCATGTGTACAAATGAGGATAACTAGCAATATCGGTAATTACCTTTCATGAACATCTGCTCGATAACGCGGCACATCGTTCGCGGCACATTGTAATGTGGCACACCTGCTCCTCATCAAGTGAGTGCGGCACGCTGCATACAGCACCTGGTGAACATTGCACCTGCGTCGTCGACGTAGTCTGATCTATCTATACCTCAAGCTAGTAACCTCAATGTACTATAATGCTAACTCTCTGTAATCTCTTAGTGTACTGTGACTCAGGAGTGGCATCCTTGAATGGAAAGCGTCGGTTTGTCATCATGGCATGATTGATTGGCCCTTCATCGTCGCGGCGTATGTCAACCTGTGGTACCTGCAACTGTTTACTTCCTCCGAGGTTAAACTTAACCTCAACAAGAAGTCCATCATGAATTAATATCTCCTACGATTTCTCAGATTCTTCAAAATTTGAGAATCGAGGCACTAGACATACTGAAAATGATAGATAAGTCTTGTCTTATTAGACAGACTATCCTCGATCTTGACATGACTGGCCTGAATATTCTCATGACTGAATAACCATGACTTGACTCTTACATGACTGAATCATCTTTGTCTGAACTCTAAAAACTATTCCGAGACAACTAAATAGTCGCTTCGGAATTGAAAACATGATATTTACTGATTTACTTGACTTGATAAGGTACGACTTCAAGTTTTCAGGTAAAATTGGATTAATAGTCTGTATTGCATACCTACTAATTTAACCTGGCTGAACAACTATTATACGTCGACCTTAAACTCATGAACATTGACCTTAAATCTTGAACATTGACTCATGACTATGTACTGTATAGGGCTGTTCCAGTATCAACTGGTCCCGCAAGTACAAAGGAATTAACTGATCTTAAACTTTGAAAATCATAACTTAGAATATCATGATTGGTAAAAGACATGACATGACTGACTTTAAAGGTTGTGATTACATGAAATCATACTGCTCCGGCCCCAGCTTCAAGCCTCCATGGTATACCCGGCTGAGTGGCTCTTATTTCAAGCCTCCATGGTAACCCGGACTATTGACTCTTATACACTGGAAATCGTTACCTTGACAATGGCTTGAAAATTATAACAACCTTTAACATGAAAATTTATCCCTGAACTGTTAGAGGTATGCTGTAAAAGCTGTGTTTTGCAGTTTCTATCAATTCCATTT